AGTACTGGGATGGGAGAAGTCTGGGAACACCAGGAGCCACTGTGGGGTGGCTGTGGTTGTAAAGTGCCAAACTGTTGTTGGGTCCCTGTTGGGATACTCCACCGCTGTATAAAACAATGTATTATTATTCTCTGAGCAAAAATAATGATCCTTTGTACAATATATGTAAATTCTAATATTCTGATTTCGCCAACAGACATTGCACCAAGTCATTGTAAATACAATCCCCTAACCATATATTTGGTCCGGTTTTGTGATCTAGTCTCTACACTTGTAAAACAAAAGTACTCTGCAGCTGAATAGAAAATAATATCTCCAGATGCTAAATTGCCTCAGGCTCTAGTTGCTGCAGGTTCCATTCCTCAGTGATGCAACAAAAATAAGGGAAAGAAAAATCAATACAGGAAAGTAGAACTATATAATCTTCGTTTTCAACAATGCGGCTGTTGCTCAGTGAAATGGAATTTGACAAATAAAAAAATGTACTGTATATGTTTTTGCACCAAGCTTCCATAATCAAAGATGCATTTTCCACAACTGTGCTTCAGGGAGTCAGTTGATACCAGCCCTGAGCTTTATATTTCCATGGGAGCAGTGAAGCGGATTGTATTGTGAATTATGTGCCGTCCATGGCCTTGACTGAAGACATGGAGCGGACAGGGGCACCTCTGGAAACAGCACAAAGCCATGCATTATTTAACTTAAGAAAACACATCTGAATCTGAATTCATAACAATACATCTTATCCCATGAATGTCAAACAACCCATGTTTAGTACTACTGCTACATGTGGGCCTCCCCAAGGTTTCTCACTTTTTCCAACTGAGTTTTTCCCTTTGATGCAGGAGGACACAAGACATTCAACAACATTTATGGACATTTACTGTATGGTCATTGGTCATCTGCCCCTAACGGACCAATGGCTCAATGTGTTTTCTACCATTGTATTTCTTATATTTGAACTGTTTGACTCTCTGATCTGTGTTTGCGAAAAACGGTAGTGTGTTCATTGCTATTCACCCGTTGTCCCATTGTCTGTTTCATGGCGACAACGGGACCTCTGAACCGGCCCTCTCCATCTACACCTGCGGACTACCCTGCCCGACCCGCCTGGGAGTGCCTCAGTCCTGCACCGGACCTGTCCACGCTCTGTGGCTGCTGCGTGGCAGTGGTCCTTGTTCTGTAGCTTAGGTCCTGGATCTATAGCCCGTCCGTCTGTGAGGATCGGATCCTTCTCTCAAAATGTGGACGTCCCTGAGGTTTCTCACTTTTCTCCCACTGAGTTTTAGAGTTTTTCCTTGCCGATGCAGGAGGGTCTGTTGGACAGTTAGTGTCTAACTAGAAGGACTGTGGTGATGATCCAGGACACTTTAACATTCTCCAACATGTATGGACATTTATCAACATTCATGGACATTGGTCTCTCCATATGGACCAATTCATATGTGTATATTTTGTTTTAACTGTTGATTCTCTGATCTGTGTTGGTGATTTCAATGGTTTTGTTAAGTCCTCTGAGTTGACTGCTGTTGTGATTAAGGGCTATACAAGAATAAATTGTATTGTATTGTAATTTTATATGGAGGCAATGTTGTAAACACTGTGAACACTAAAGCCTGAGGTAATGACCCCAAACACAAAGCCAGAGCAACAATGGAATGACCAAAAAGAGAGAAAATAATTAGTTGAATGGGCCAGTTGATGTCCCGACTTAAATTATTGAATATCTGTGGAAATTGACAACTGCTCTTCACAAATGGTCTTCATCTAATCTAACAAAGCTTGATTTGTTTGGTTGGAAGACCTTGGTGTGCCTTTTGAAAAGTTTTTTTAAAGTGACCCCGCTGCAGAAAAACGGGGTTCCACAAAGCTACAAGTCACGTTGTATGAAGGAACAAAACCCACTTTTCAGTTGCTGTATGTATTCTATAACACTTTTATCATTTTTTCTTTCACATCAAGGTTTTTTTTTTTTTTTTTTTTTAAGCAAAATCAGAATTGCAAAACATGTTAAAGTTATTGTTATACAATTTTGAAAGCCACTACAATAATCATTAAGCGCAACGTCTCACTGGTCACTGGCGCCATGGTGTGGCATTGAGCGAAATTACACAAACTGATCTATAATTGTAGAGTAAAAAAAAACACACACACACAGACGGCTTTAGATTCTACATTTGTGTTTTATGAGAAAGGTTTCCCAATACTAATATAAGGCTATTTTTTATTCAAACTATCACAATTGGCAAACAAATCGACCTCATGATCTTTGTCAGTATTTTTCATCTGCTTTTGATTCCCTCGAACAAAACAGTTGTATCACCTGCAACGTATAGAGTTTCAAATTCAACATAAGTTTCATCAGGAGTGAAGCAGGTGATTTCATGAACCCCTGCGCGCACAGAAGAGAGCCGCTGATCCATCCCATTTCCTGGCACACGCACGCTCCTGAGGGAGGGCCAGTCAAACAGCCATGGGAAAGTTCTCCCCACTTTTTCCGATTACATGGATTCATTTAAAGAAGGCCTGAAGTGAGTGGAGCAGTAGAGGACACGGCTTCTGGAGGAGAGGATAGCGTGCGCACGTACAGAAGAGGAGACAGAATAGAACTTCAGAGAGAGAAAGGTACGGACCCTATTTAAAAGACTGTCACCTTCTTTTTATCCCATGACAGATCACGAGGTTAAAAAATATAATAATACCTATACACACATAGACAGGTTAAATTCATACAGCTAAAGGCGTAAACTAAAATATCAACATTCATATTCAAGTATCATACAAATCTATACACTACATAGATGGATAGTGGTGGGTCTATGAAACAAAATCACTGATGTTTTTCTAACCTCTTTTTTGCTCCCAGTCAGCACCAGCCCATTGTCTTGTCTCATCCTGTCAGAGGCTTATGCATGACTCTATTTTCTTATCTCTGAGGGAAGAAAATAACAGAAAAATGTCAAACAGTGGCCTGCATGATGTTTATGCAGACGGAAATTCACTTTGTGTTCAAACCCAACCTTAGATCCTTAAATCTTGTTTAATCGATTTGACTAATACAATAAATGTAATCAATTTTTGAATTAGAAGATTCCTTTCACATATTAAGTATTTAGTAAGCATATAACCAGCTGTAAGGCCTATCTCAAAAGAGACTGGTTATGGGCAGTTTGGACTAAAAATGCCTTATTATGTATTTCTACCTCAACATGGACCAACTATCAAACCGACTGTTTGATAAGGCAAATAAAAAACATAATTGTTTTGTTTTTTAGATCAACTGGACATGTTTTAGCAATTTGTGTAAAGAGGCTTTGTCTTCTGAAGAGAAGTTCGCTTTGAGAACAGTTTGAGCTAATGGAAGAACTTATAAGGAGTTACACATGGAACTCACTTCCAGGCGCAGAAATGTAGAACAAAAGTGGCCAATTAAGTAACCTATTAATCACAAAGTTGGTCATGAAATTCAGAATTGGCGATAACACTCAGTTATTACATTTTAGGTGGTAGCCGAGCCAGTACATAAACTGCCCTAGAACACAATGAAAGGTGAGTAAAATGTACGTTGTTAAAAAGATCTGCTGGAAATCTGACTGAGTAGTTTAAGAATACTAATAAAGTATTTGTGCTCAGATGAACCCAAAGTGAGGGGGGAACTAACATCGCGCCTAAATAAGAATAAATAAGCCTTTGTACTCACATAAAAAAATGTGGGAAAGGGACATTTCGGAAATGTTACGCTCTCTTTTTGCAAACAAGCATTCGTTCAATCAGTTAAATTGGTTTTCGCACTGCTGTAGATATATAATTTTATGGAACAACAATTCATGGGACAGTTTAGTCAGATAACGGAGGAAAGAACACCAAAAAGCACAATAAAAGTTCTTATGATAGCACTTTTAGTTTTAATATTGGCCTCTAAACTAAACCGATAAAAGGCTAAATGCTTGAATCCTGTGGTTATTATCTTGATTCTGGGACTTTTTAATTTGCCAATGGGACACACAGCATTATCTTCCAAGGGCAGTAGCTTTCTTTTCTTTCTAAGTGAGAAATTCTGCTTGTCCCATTGGAAAATCTTGTTTTAAGAGCTACCAACATACATTTATAAAGGCAAGGAATGTCTATCTATCTGTCTATGTGTTTGTGTGTTCAAAACTATAGGGTGATAATACAAAAAATCAAATGGGCCCATCTATATGACCAACACTCAGGTTTTTACTAAAATCAAGAAAAAGTAGTTATTGCACTAAGTCTAACAAGTTATTTCTCATACTTGAAGTGACTATACAAGTATGATTTGTGTGACATGTTTTGGCATCTTTCAGGAGCAGAGGATGTCCAGAGCTGACTGGTCTTTCCTGGAGCACTTACTGGAAGAGGGTCAGGAGTACTCAACGGGCATCGGCCGCGTCTGGCTCACAGTTTTGTTCCTCTTCCGCATGCTCGTCCTGGGAACCGCCGCGGAGTCTGCCTGGGATGATGAGCAAGCCGACTTTGTGTGCAACACCCGCCAACCCGGCTGCACGGCGGTCTGCTACGATAAAGCCTTTCCCATTTCCCACTTTCGCTACTTCGTCCTCCAAGTGATCTTTGTCTCCACACCTACCATCTTTTACTTTGGATATGTGGCGATACAGGCCAGAACTGACAAGTCCAAAGACGAGGAGCAAGATGGCGATGAGGATGTAATTGAAAACAAAAGAAAAGACAATGCGGAGAAGGAAAAAAGAGGGAAGAAAAGTGACAAGGAGCCAATAGAGGCCCCGAAGCTCAAGGGAAGGCTATTGTGTGCATACGCTTTCAGCATCCTTTTCAAAGTCTTTCTTGAAGCTGGATTCATTGTTGGACTTTGGTTCCTCTATGATGGCTTCATAATAGCGACTAAATTTGAATGCACAATACCACCATGCCCTCATACTGTAGACTGCTTTGTGTCACGGCCAACTGAAAAGTCCATTTTTACCATATACACGCAGGTAATCGCTGCAATTTCTTTGATGCTAAACCTGGTGGAACTCATTCATCTGCTCCAGCTAGCTCTGAAACATGATCTAGAGAAACGATACAAGGTTGAGCAAGCTGAGTGTGTTCCGCAATCCAAGCACCTTACAGAGCCGCAGGAGGAGATAGAACTTCAGACTAATCCCACTCGCTCGTACAAAGCTGAGAACAGCAGTGACGCGCTGTCTTCACAAGGTGGGGCCACCGTTTACCAGAACTCTTGTGAGAGCTATACTGACTTTGGGATTGAAGTGAACTGGAGTCCCGAGGAAAGTGCCGGAGATATGCTTCCTAGTTACATGAACTGCATGGGAGCGATGAGGACTAACCACTCCCCAAGGGTCAACTACAAGAAAAGACCTGACCACTCTGCAAAGCACTGTAAGGGTGTCCACAAAGCACATTCAAAAAACAAGCACTATGTATGATTGTAGACTGTATATAGATGGACATTGAAAAGTAAACTCCCCCTCTTTTGCCAAATTTGGGTACAGACAGCGCCGCTCCTGATTGGTGCTTGGCGACTCAACAAAATTGGAAACAAAATAGACCATTCCTGGTAGAGCATCTTCAAGAAGACAGGCAGGTACCAGTTTGGGATCACCTATGCATGTCTTGTCCTTGTTACTTTTGGATAAGGTGTATTTTTTGTTCATATATGTTGCCATCTCTTTGGTTTTGAGGTGAAGTGAATGGTCCATGCTTTATAAATGTTTTTCCTCAGATAAGTTTGTGTAAGCCCTCAGTCGTACAGGGATTAGTCAAAGCAAAGGAAGGTTTCTCACCCATCATCTGTACTTCTTAGCAAGTTTTTCTGACGTTTCGTCCTCAAACTAGCGGACTTCTTCAGGGAATGAATTCTCGGACCGCGCGTTGGAGATTTATAACCTATGAGTGTGGTTAGCCACACCCTAATCCTGATACTAACTCATAAACAATCTAAGGTCTGATGTAGAAGGGAGCAGATCTAACGACCCTGCTGAGGCTAACGACCCTAACTCATTAGCATGTCACTGACCTTGTCCCAAGTTAGGGCGTTGTTTTTAGGATGTCGTCATAGATGCGAGGCAAAACAAATCTTAACCCTCCTCCTCTGTTAAGAGAAGGTTTTTGTTTCCTCACAAAAATGGCTTCTTTCACCCCCTCTCTCAAACCTGCACTCCACTTGAGCATCCCAGCAGACAATAGGTCTGTGACATGCTAAGGAGTTAGGGTCGTTAGCCTCAGCAGGGTCGTTAGACCTGCTCCCTTCTACATCAAGCAGACCGTAGATTGTTTATGAGTTAGTATCAGGATTAGGGTGTGGCTTACCACACCCATAGGTTATAAATCTCCAACGCGCGGTCCGAGAATTCATTCCCTGAAGAAGTCCGCTAGTTTGAGGACGAAACGTCGGGAAAACTTGCTAAGAAGTACAGATGATGGGTGAGAAACCTTCCTTTGCTTTTCCTCAGATGTTCAAAGAGAATGCATTTCACTGCATTCTGTATTTGTTTACATTTTGCACAGTGCCCCAATTCAATCCAAATTATTTGATTTCGCTCCGGAGCGTTCCACTTCGCTTTTAAATCCCGCACATGACACTGGAGGATCACCCGGGGCTGGCAGCTCGGGATGAGGGGGGAAAAACAATTTGTGTTTGATGCCCCGCAGCCAGGCAGATATTCAAAGATGGCTTTATTAGATAAATGGACCAATTCAAAGCTAACATTTAGAGAAGGCTCCCCAAGGCAAACAATGGAATAAGCTTCAATGTGGGAAGATTGCAGTCATAAGACGTTTTCATGTTACGTGTAATGGCTTTTAGAGCTGAATGTGACAGTGGGACAAAGGGGAGGGTCTTTGAAGGTTTGGAGGTGGAAAATTGTGGATTAAATGTGTGCTATAGACTTGGGCTGCTTTGAGAAACCATTTTACTACCCTAACCCTAATCCTGACCCCCTAACCCTAACCCTAACCCTAACTAAAATCACCAAAAGTAACGCTAAGAATCTTAACCATACTTTTCTCATGTTGGTAAAACGGCAGTACTTTCAGAAATGTTCCAACACAAAAAGGAGACTGCCAAGGTACAGATTGGACAATAAAAGAAATGCTGTTATGTATTTTTCAAACATTTAGGTCAAATCAAGTCAAATCAAATCAAACGGAATACATTGTTCTTCCCACTTTAGTTTTGCCAATATAAACATGTTATACCTTATTTTAAAGCTTGGAATTTACCTGTTGTATTCCAATCCACAGATAAGTTTGAAGCTAGCCTGGCCTTAGCCTTCGGAAAACTCTGGTAAATTATTATTTCCCTAAAACAACATTTGTATGATGGTGTGGCTAGTTTGGAGAATATTACCAATCATCATTCTGGGAACTTCAGCTGTATCCAAGTAAATCAATGTCATTCCTCGTTTTAAGGCTCTGAGCAGCCTATTTCCAGGTGAGGAATCTGTTTCATAACACATACATGGGTTGTGAATTAGTGAATTACTTGATGTTTTCAAGTTTAACATTGTAATAATATATGACTAATGTATTGCTATTTAAAAAAATTCTGTATGTTTGTAGTAAACTAGCACCAAAGCTCGAATAAAGAGATATTATGGTGAAAAGATAGGAAAATCCTTTTAAGACAGTATCAGTCTCAAAACATCTAAATAGGATGTTTCCAATATTTGAAGTACTTTAAATAAAAGCAATACGTACATTCGTTAAAACAGATGAAAAAGAACAATCAATTTTTTTTGTGGGGTTTTAGGGGATATCACCCGCTCCAAAGATTTTCCTTAACATAAACAAGAAACATTTGTAATACATGCAATTGCAATAGTCCACTCTCTTCCTCACAACTCAAAACTCTCCTCCAAAATCCAGTTTCAACTCACCGTAGATTGGCTATATTCGTAGAAATGTCAAAGAATACCAGTCTGAATTAAATGTGATTAATTGTGCAGCTGTAGTTGCCAATAGACTACAATGATTTTACTAAGAAAGTCAATTCTTCAAAAAGATTAGGTTTGTGCCAACTTTGGTCGTCTAATGATATAGCCGCTCTGCCTGGAACATTGGACTAACCCAGCGGTGATTGCGTTTAAACAAATAGCCTGGTCATTAATGTTGTGTTTTCCACTGGGAGCGCTGGGCCGGTCCACTGAGACTTGCACTGTAGTGTGAACCCCCCTTTTTCCCATGGTTGTGTTCATAAAGGAATGTCAAAGCTCTGTCCCCTATCTGCTCAGCGTAATGAGTGCGTGCATGCATGCTCGCTCACACTCACATGTTCCCTTTCACCCACAAATATTTGGACCATTAAGTGAAATAATGTTGAGAAAAAAAGTTGGTCCGATTAGTTATTAGTCAAAAAATGATTACATTCTGAAAGCAATTGAAAGAGATGTTGGATGGACTAAACAAGGTACAAAAGCTTCTATGTATGTCTTATAGCGTTTGTATTTATAAACCAATTTTTGTAAATAATCTATATTTATTATTTTGTCATTAAAAATAAAATGGAGGTTCTTTACGTTTGTGTCTGGAATTGATATGGAACAAAACCAAAAGTGAATCTTGTACTGTATTTAGTTGGAAATGTGGCCCCATTTCACACTAAACATAATGTAAGGTGAAGGTGAGGCAGTGGTTCTGGAAACACATTGTAAACAGAAGAAACATTAGCAAGAGGTGAAAGTCACACTAAGAGTAAATGAAAATAGGACTTATAACACTTTCAAACAGTACTATATAACATACCATCCATGGGAATAATCCTTCATCTGATGTTGGTGAGTTCACAGTTATCAGATTTTCTCATGATCAAGATGATACAAGGCGATTCCCCATGAGATTCTGTCTTGAACAAAAATAAATATGGCTCAAACAGCAGTATAAAGTCTGCAGCAGAAATGAACCCATAGATCATCATAATATCTTCATGTTTTATCCCCTCAACAAAAGCAGGTGGCTGAGTGGACAGCACTCCCGCCTCTCAGTAGAAGGTCCTGGGTTCGAATCCCGGTGGAGTTCTGAGTGGAGTTCGCCTGTTCTCCATGTGTCTGCGTAGGTTTCCTCCAGGTTCTCCGGTTTCCCCTACCCTGTTGTACCACATGTACAATAGGTCTGGCATGCACCTGCTGTACTGGCAACCCCGCTCCCATCTCTGTGTTGAGTGAGCAAGACAAAATGCCCAAAAATAACAATTGTGACTCTGGTCTGTGAAATGCGGTATATAAACAGAGACTACTTACTTACCCTTTTCCTAACCGGATTCATAACCCTAACAAGCCAACCTTAGCCCTGACCCCATAAAAAATCCTGGGAAAACAACATTGATCATGTTGCTTATGTTTATGTGAACAGAGCCAAGACAAGAAAAGGCACAAAATACTATATAGACTAAACCTGACTTCATTCAGGTTTAGTCTATATCGGACTCACATTTATTGTCAAAACATACTGGTGAATGACATGAAGCGAACAGTTAATGTTTTCTTCCCCAGAGCTGTTAGTGTTTAGCTTTATCTAAACCAAGTCGAAATTGTGTTTAAACGCCTCATCTTTAAATCATGTTGTTCATTCACTTTGTTTTTCTCTGTTTTAGAAAGTGTGGCCTATAGAACTGAAACTTAACTGACTTAACTGTATGATTAATGCATGACTTCATATACTATTATCATAAAGTTTTACTGATTCTGAAAATAATGGTGTTTTGTTAAATATGGGGTCTATTATTATATTTTCAGGATGTATTTTGTCTAAAGACTATTGTCACGGTGGTCCAGCTTAGACAGCACTACTGATTTTAAAAAGTGTTTATGTAATGACTCTCCAAACTCCTGAACTCGTGGCCGTATAAAACGCTCCTTAGCGCTGGTCTATCTTGGTCTATTCCCTCATTCGTCGTTAATCTGATATCAGGCCAAGTGCCATAAGGGAGCACCAACAATGTAACAAAGCCCTCTGCAGCCTCATTGTCAGCTAACAATCCCAAGTGACCGTTCCCCCAGGAGCACAATAATGCAAGAGGAAACAGATACAGACCCACTTCCTGTCCAGCGATTATATTTAGAGGCCAGTCCAGCCGTTCTGTTATTCACCAACAAAAAAGCCAAATGAAATACGGGGAGTCCGATTATGATGTGTGTCAGCATTGTGTAACTATTAGAATAGAAACAAAAACTGGCAAACGGGGCAGTGGACAAAAGACAATATCTGTGTGGCTGTATTCTGTATGTGTTTGCAACGAAATGGAAAGTGCTTTTTAGTGTTTTCAGAGCTGATAGATGTGTTTTTCAGGAGGGATGTGGGGGCCAGGTATCTGCAAGTGACTGAGAAATTCTTTCCTTTGTCGGGCTAAAACTGGCGAGTTTTTTTTTGTGTTTATGTGTTTTTTTTTTTTTGGCGAGCTACAGTCTTTTCACATCTCTACCACAGCCAC